TCTAAAAAAACTTTAGGTATATTTAAAAATTTGTTATAATTTAAAATAAATATTAACTTATATATTTAGTCCCTAATAAAAGTATTGAGAGAATCATAGAGTCTTATAAAGGCCTTTATAAAAAATTGATTAATTGTTAAAATGGCAAAAAATTATAGAGAATAAGATTACTTGCCTAAAAAATGAAATTCATACAAGTCAATATTTAATAACTAAATATGATTTATTGAAGTCAGATTTATTTTGAATTTTTCAAAGGTCTTCAAAAACTTATATTTATTTAAATAGCATGTGGTTAAGAGTATTGTGAAAGAAGTATTTTTTGAAAAAATATATCTGAAACATGAAGATTTTCATCAAACAACCAAGAAATTTTTTTAGCAAGAACATTCAGAGTTTTATAAAGGTCTTACAAGAAAATGTTGAAAAACATATTATGAAAAACATATTTATCAAGCAGTAATTCTTATAAATATTAATAACTTTAGTTTTTTAGTTATTTAATACCTTATTGCTTTAAAAGCTTGTGAAACAGCATCAATCACTTTGTAGGACTATGGCTTCAAAAGTTTGTGATACCATGTTTTCAGTTTTTGGCAAAGGATATTTGGATACAATAAATACAAATACAACTGTTACTAATATTTTAGTCTAGAAACAATTTCAGAAGACTGCTAAATGCTTTAAAAACCTTCACAAATATCCAAGAGGAAGACATAAAGCACAATGGCCCATATTCTTAAAAAAGTTTGGCCAAAGAAAAATGCCTCTGAGAAACAAATGGGATTTACTATTGCAGTATGTCAAACAGTTCTTAATTTGAATAATAAAAGTATTTTAATAAATAAAATATTAATTAAAAGCAAAATAAAAAAAAATAAGATGAGTTTTAAAAATCTTCGAAGTATTATAAATTATTGTTAATAATATTTTTAGGAGAGAATTAAAAAAGAACTTGGATTTGAAAAAGAAAATTTAAATAACAAAGATAAAGAAATGACAGAGTCACAAATTATTACTATAAAAAAATCTTCAAAGAACTTTGAAAATATTGAGAACAATCTGGAACTACATTGGAAAATAGAAAATTAGAAAGAAAAACTTTGGCAATAAGCAAAAATTTAAACAAATAAATAAATATAAACAAGAATTATGTAATAATAAAAATTATATAATAATAAAAATAATTTTATAAGTCAATTAAACATTTTAAATTGAATCTTATTTAATTATAAATATGCAAATATAAATATATTATATTATTATTAAAAAAAATTGAAGATTTCTGGAGATTAATATATAAATTTTTGTTCTAAAGTCTTTTAATAATGATAGGGACCTTCAGAGATCTACATCCAAAGATCTTTAAAAATCTTTACCCAATAATTTCTTAATAAAGAAATAGTTTTTTTATTATTGTTTTTTGTCTATTCCTTTTTTTTCCATGCTATTACTTTTTTCTTTTATCTTATTTAGTGTGTCTTTGTTAAGTTATAATTATGCTATATGAATTTCTTTAAACTTTAATAAACTATTTGTAATTAATAAGCTATTTAAAATTATAATTAATAAGCTATTTAAAATTATAATTAATTTAAGCTTTTCTAAAATTACATTATGGTTTTACATGTCATTATAAACTATAAGTTATTAATTATTGCAAATCAGGATATATGATATATCAGAATATGTTTGTACTATCACACTCTATATTAGTTTCTTGCTAATAATATATACTAGACCTATTATACTTAATAAAACAAGATATATATTAATTAGTTTTTTAAAAAATTTTAAATAGTTTAAAAATAATAATCAAAAATAAATAATTATTTATTATTTCAAGAATTATTATTATAAGTATATAAAAATTAATTTACTTTAATTATTAAATTAAAATTTAAACTAAAAATTAGTAATATTATATATTAGAATATTTTATTATTATATTTTTCAAAAAATAATAATGGATTATAATATATATATTAAATTTAATATGAACTTGAAAATTAAGAATTGAATTTAATCAAATTCTTAGAATTCTTAGATATCACTCTTTTGATATAATATTATATTGAGAATTTTATATATAATAGATTGGTATTAATCAAAAAAATACAAATCCTCTTCTTGCTAATCCTCTAATCAATATTTCAAAACAGCATTTAGACTAAGGCATATCTTTACTCTTAACAAAATCCATATACTCTCCTTAATACAACTTAATAGATCTTGGCAAGATACTTATATATTCTCTACTGTTTTATTTATTTCTTCAACAAAGTAAAAACAAGAAGACTTCTTAGTTTTTACTTATTCAAGCTCCAATAGCAAGAAAAAGTTTCCCAGAAAAGAAGACAGTTTATTTAATTTCTTCCTTCTTTTTATTACTATAATATTAGTATCTCTATCAGAAAAGATAATCTTAAAGGTTGTTAGATATCTTGATCTCCAGAAATCTTCACAACATAAGTACAACTACTTTTCTAGTGTGTTTTCAAAATTCCTAGTTTTTTTGGAAAATTTTGCCTACCTCAATTTGATCCTGAATTTTTTATTATACCAAATTTGCTGGGTTTCCATTGGCTGAAAATTCAAATTGGATAACAATAAACAAGTAACAGATAAACAAAACAAAAACACATTCATATCCATATTATATAACTTCGATAATGTTATTATTTCAAACAAGAAAAGCAAAGCAATAAGGTGTTCATTTTGATATAGTTGGGTTTGAATGTATATCCTTTTTTACTTTTTTTTTTTTTATCATGAATAAGCATTAAATGTGAGACTATATATCCTCTTTTACTTTCTCCTCTCTTTTCTTTTTTCTTTATTCTCTTCCATATATATAAATACAAACAAAGTAAACAATATGTTTTTCCTATGGGATTTTTTGGTTCTGATTCATGGTTTATGGAAAATCACAAACTGTAAACTGCTTAACAAGACTTTTAACATCACTTCTCTAGCTAAAAAAGTTGTTAAGCTTATCAGTAATATCCACTATTTTTATCTCTAGTAAAGGTATTCAGTTGGTAGCATTTGCCAGAATGGAAGATTTTCTTCAAGATATAGCCTAACTTTGAAAGAATTGTGTCTTTTTAAATAAGCAACATATGCTTGAAGTAAGATATTATTTAAAGGATTGAATTATTAATCCCACCATAGGTTTTAAGGTATTGGCTAGACCTAAGTTCTATTTGTTTTTCAAGTTGTAATTCTTCAGGCAGCTACTAAGATAAGAAAATATTTCAAGATATTGGCAAGAACAATAGTATTAAGTTTTCATCTGTATATAAAAGAATTATATTTAGATCACGATGGAACTTTATTTCTTTGAATGCAAGAAATAAGTGACTAAAATTGTACTATATAGTTAATACAATCATTTTAGAAAGATAGTGACAATTAAATCTGAGGCCTTGGGCAATTGGAATAAGATCAATAAAACTAGATGCTAAGACTATTTCTCTCTGTTGTGATTTTAAAAGTCGAAGAAAAAGAAGTTTCCTTCTTTTTTTTCTTGAAAAGAACAGAAATACAGTACTCTGATGAGTAATCTGTTATATGTTGAGGAATCTTAATGAAAAAGTTTACAATTTTGAGGTTAGAAGATATAAAAAAATTGATTCACAAATAATTTTTTTTAGGAATCAGTAGTGCTTGATAAAACTGATCAAGAAATACTGTTGTTTTTACTGGTGATAAGTCTTACAGTAAAATATAGTTCTTAGTGATATTCAAATTAAGTTATGAATTTAAGTTAGTTAGCCTCTAGATGTATCAAGTATCAACAAGAAAATTAATATATATTTATTACAATTTGAATAAAGGTGTAAACTATCTGTTTAATAAAAAAAAATAGATTAGTATTAATTTAAACAGATATTTAATATACTGATTAGATTTTTTGAATCAATAAATTCTTGTATTTTATATTTATTTGCAATAAAAAAAAATATAATCAATATATTTTTGACTATAAAAATTAAATGAAATATAAAATTTTGATTATTATATAAAAACTTTTTTAAAATTATTTAACTTCAGTATAAATACAATATTATAAAAAGATTTTATTATAGATCTTTTATTATTTATTATAGACAAATTTATAGACAACAATTATAATTTTTTATTATATCTCAAAAATTTAATAACTAAATTTAATCATTTCTTTATTAATAATTCCAAGTAAGTATTTGTAGCTACTTAACTGTATTTTTAATATATTGTATATTGGTTTTAATATTTGTTTTTTTTTATTGTCTAGATAATTTATATAAGCAAGCTAGCATTAAATTTATTAATTTACAGTATATCTTACAGTATAATATATATAAGAAATATTGTTACTTTCTTTATGTACAAATTCTATATAATTTTACAACTAATAAAATAATAACAATAATTTATTTTAAAAAAAGGAAACATATATAAATATTTCTTATACACAGCATAAAACTCATGATAATTTTTTTTTATTTAAAATTTTTAATAATAACAAATTAATAGAAAGAATTATATACAGTAAATACGGTAGACTTGGTTTTTCTATTCCAAAAATCTTTTTTAAATTTGCATTTAATGTAAATTTATTAAATTATAATATTCAACACCTGCATACATAAATATTTTTATTATCAGAATCTATAAAACATATATTTCAAGGTTTATTTGAATTAAATAATTTCTGTATTTATTAAATTATCATAAAAAAAAATTAATTTCAAAATTTATGAATTATGACAGACGAAAATATGTGCGAAAACAAATGTTAATTACTTTTTTCAGAAAAAAAAAAATCAAGTCAAATAAACTCAATTAACTCATAAAAAATATCATATTTACATTAATAAAAATAATAAATAAAAAATCACGACCCAATTATTCGCTTGTTAAAATGGATAAATAAATCGGTAAATATTCGAAAACTATTACAACTCCATAAGTAAACTAAAAGTGATTTAACAAATTTTCCGGATATAAGATATTTACATGTGTTGAAGTACATACTTATTAAATAAAATGTTCGAAAAGTTATAAATTCCCCACATCATGGGAATCGTAATATACCATATATTTACCAACTCAAACACACTATTCATTTTTAAGGGAACCACCTTGGATGATTCAGATGTAGGGAATTTTCCCTTAGTATAAAATTCAGACATTAAGGCGTCCTTTTCTACCCAACGTTGCCTTAGCCACTCTGCGAACTTATCTTCATCATCAGGGATTTTCGAAATAGCGTAACGACGAATGTGTATATGTATATTACGAGGATACTTCGCCTCAAAGTAAATTTTCCGAAGAGTATATATATCTTCCGGATATTGTCCTGCCGATATTCCTTCCAGTCCAATAGTTAGATCATAAATGTGACTTACTGATTTTCTTAACGTCTGTGTGCAATAGTTCAATCCAGTGGAACGTGGCAATAAAAGATGCTCATGATCAACCTTAATATCATATATAAGATAGAGTATCGAAAAGCAGAGAACTTTAGTCATGCTCATACATAAAGAATTTTACAAGAAAGACCAAACACACATACCGTGCCAATCTTCTCTGCAAAGTTTTTTGACGATTTTCGTGTTGCTTCGCATACTACTGTTCCCTCAGGGAATATTAGTAACCATAATGGATCTTTGGAGCTGGCCAAGCTATTCATTACTTTAACTAACGCGCCTTTGTCTGCAGCCCACCTTCTTTTCAGAAAGATGAACTGGAAAAACCTCATTCCCTAAGAGATGTAAAAATGGTTAATTCCAAAAGAATATTATTAATTGAAAATAATAACTCAATTTTAAAACGTCAAAGACATTTAATAATTGGACAACGCTATCTTCTCATAATAACATATGGATCAAGGAAGCTTACCCTAATACAATGAAGAAAAAAAAGGAAATGATAAGTAAACTTAAGATGTGATGAGTCGTTTCTGATTAAATTTTTTGGAAAACCTACCATCCAAATATTGGCAACCACTTAAGTGAATCCTTCAATATAATCTTGATAGCACCATGCGCATTCGCAAAATAAGCAAAAACCCTTCAATTCAAGAAGCATTAACGTCAAAGAGAAGATAGAGAAATCATAAAAAATCAAATAGGTTACCATATGTAAATCCAATCAGCATATATCTACATTAAAGTATTAAAGCTGTCATCACCTTATATTAAAAACAAATCAAGATTCGCAAATCGACTAACCTGATGATTCGCAATTAATATAATTCTCTCAGGTATGTCAAGTTCGATTTTTGCGCCATTCCAAGTTTGCTTCACGACACCTTTGGCGGTCTCATCCACAGTAATAATAAAATTGCTTGGAGCGAAATATTGATTAATGGACACAAGTAAGGTACCATAGCATCGTTGGGTGTGAACAATCAAATTATGAAACAAATTATTCTGAAAAGGCCAAAACAGTAAGGCCGCGAACTGTGCGAAGTTGATCATGAGCGATTGACCAACTTTAAACACGTGAAAAGTTAGTCAAACATCTACACATAGGTCGGACTATACGCAAGACGAGTTCTTAATTCCAAAGACTTGCCATAAAACACGCAAAATACTGCAGTACGAACTAACCATTGAACCAAATTCAATGGCTGAGGCTCTCTTGGGATAGCCATCTTTTAAACCTCTTTCTTTAAGTTCCTATTTGTAAAAACTTGGGTAAACCTCTATCGCCTTAATCAGAAATTTAATTTCTACGCTGCCTCCTTGTGAATGAAGCGAACGAAGGCAAAAATATATTGCTGCGACTCATATTATTAGCGTACTGTTGTTGTACCTGGGACTCGTGATGGACCTTTTTGAGGATAAATCAGGTGAACACTAACGTTTTATGGCAGTCTAATGCTTACAATTGGCTGGGGTCTGGGGTTTTAGCGTGCGTTACATTTATGCTGCCAGTACAAACTGGAGAGGACCATATATAGTTTGGACAACTAAAAAGTTATTCAAATATGAAAATGTATATATTGTTTTATATCAAATATTAATATATTATCTAATAATTAAATTAAAAAATAAAATATATAAAGCATTTTTTTTAAAGCAAACGTTTATAAAATATTATATGCTATATTAAAAAAAAAAAAAAAGACAATTGTTAACATTGTCAATATATTATTATTATTTTTTAATAAATCTATATTGATAAAAAATTTATTTCAAATGATTTTATATGTAATTAAATGATTCAATTGATCTAATAATAATAATATAAGAATTTAAGTCACTAATATAGTTCAATTAAACAATTATACTTTAATTAGAAATTTATACATACAGTATTTTTAAAAATACAAAGAATTCAAGAATCATTATATTGTAACATTTACTAATTGAAATAATAAACAAATGTATCAAATTTGATATATTAATAAATTCAATCAAGTGAAATATCCTAATTCATGAAAGGTTAAAAAAATTGGTTTTAAGATTTACCTAGAAAATTCGTTAAATAAAAATATTTTTCAATTAATGAAAATACATATTTTATTTATAATAATAAAGAAATTTAAAAATTTAAAAATATATGCGTATAAAAGTAACAAAAAACATTATATGATAGAGTAAGTAAATTATTACCCCAAGGGTACTGTATGCAGTGATCTACAGTAATTTAAGAATTTAAGGTTATTAAAAAACACTAATTCTTATTTGTAAAATTTATTGAGAAAAGTATCTGTGATAATTATTAAACAAATTTTAAGAAATCCTTCAAAGGTAAAGCAAAAAACAATTCCCAAATACTGTGGATCATAGTAGCTTTAATATAACACTAATCCCCTCTTGCGTGATTTTCCCGGAAAGTGAATGATCATCTATTTTTTAATTGTCTTTAGAAATTATTTTGAACTAATATATATGTCTATCTCTTGGTAATCAATAAAATATTTCGTGCGACGTATAAAAATTTACTACATGTATGATTATCATAAAATCAATGAGAACCAATTCTATTATAGCAGATTATCAACGATGTTCAAAAGACAACTTACTTAAATATTTTATTATAACAACGAATAAGATTCGAATTAACTATACACTGTTTTCCGACAGCCCGGCAAAGTCCTCGACAGAATCACACAATGTACTATATCGGTGCGAATTTAGCGACCAAGTTCTGCCATTCCCTAATCTTAAATATTCGAGAATTTAATTGTGATGTCAGAAGTATTGTGTTAGAATGGAAAATGTTATTTTATTTATTTATAATCATTCAAAAATGCTTACGAGTTTTCAATGGGAAGAAACCAAAAAAACCAATCGGGACCCATTACTTGAATAAAATTAGCTCTAAGAAAATGGTCACGAAATAAGAATAGACGCAGGTGAATTAAGCAAATATTGTATGGTACATACCTTTTACCAACGTTAAACAGATTTAGATATTTACTGCTTGTAACTTCACCACCATCCTTAATTTTATAATTGTTTCTGGAAATACTTTCCAAGGTCGTCTGATTGGAAAGTATCAGGGTGGTATGATAAACCGTGAAGCCCAATAAGCACAATCCGAATATAGTACCCAGCAGAATAAGAAACGTCCAATTTAGATCGAGGCTCATTATTGCCTATGAGAAGTGTAGGATGTTGGTTTTATTGATGATAGGATGCATGAAATTATGAGTGTTCGGTATTACCTCGTAGGATGTCTGAGCATATTGGATCGTAGGCGGTAACGTAGCAAACGCAAGGAAGAATGAATAAATGGTCCCCCAAAAAAATAAATAGATAAAAGAGCTTGTAGTTCCGAAAGCCTATGCAATTGTTTAGCCTTGGTTTCGACAGAACAGTGATCAAGTTCACTCATTAGCATGTATTCACGTTATAACTTTTCCATGTTTAGTAAATATACAAAAGTCAACAACAAACCATGGACAATGACTAAAATCGAGAAATAAGCGTTAAAATCAAAATCCACCAAATGGTTTCTATTTATTGATCTAGAAGTACTTACTGATCCATTTTCAAGACACACCTAAATGAATTAAGCAGGTATGTCAATGTGATGTGATGGTCGTCAAACAATTCAACTAAATTATGAAACAGGATCTTACTTCTTGCAAACCCGACAATGATGCGCCCTATCGGGTTTATCATAAACACATTTCTGACAATATCTTTTTTCTCCATTTCTTTTTACCATTATCGACCCTGATGTGACAGGCTCTCCATTCTCATTAAACTTTACTGCACTACGTCTACTAGAAACCAATTGAATGCTATCATTTGAATTTACGTTCTGATCGGTTTGTAGGCCCGCATCGGATATTATACTTTCAACGGAACTAGATCTTTGATGATAACCGATTGATTGATATTCGTGGGATGGTATCTATTCGAAACATGATGTATTGAGCGGTTGATGAAGTTTGTGCAAGATAAGTATTTAGGAGTGATAAGGATGCCTACATCCGTAGAATATCCCGGAGATTTAAATGTTGCTTTCAAGTAGCTAAGCGACATCAAAATAAGTAATGGATGATATATAGCGAGATATATTGCCGCTAATATGAACAAAAGTATTAGTACATAGAAAGTCTCAAAATTGTTAGGAGTCGATATTTACCTTGAGTGGGATTACGATTCACCAAATAGTGCATACACAATCGAAATACGAACGCATAATAAGACCAACTAACTAACGCAATCAATGATATTACGGGCATAAAACCTCCAATCTTTATTGACATTTTAATTATTTTGTTTATTTCAATCCATGCCTTGATTTTATCCAACGATTTAGACATGACGCGAGAATTAGCAAGCATGTAAGTATGTGTAATGTGTGTATATGCACAAGCCCAAAAGTTTCACCTTAAATTTACCTTAATGCGATGTGTAACGAAAAAAACAAACATGTATGTATGACGATAATCAAGATAAATTGGTGTTGCACTGGATCATTGAATGAGTTTATGAGAATGTATATTTTCTTTCTAATATGATTTTTTTTCTTAATTTCGTTTCCTATTCAGAAGACATTCATGCCTATCGATTATAAACGAAAATTTAACGTTATCAAATTACATTAAAATATTTTTAAGTTTTTAATTTATATTAATAATTACACGATACTTAAATATCTTAAAATTAAATAATCAAAAAAAAAATTTTTTTTTCTTACAAATAAATTAATATTCTCAATGGTTACAGGATCAAAAAAAAAAAAATTTTTTTTAATATTCTTAATTATCTCTTATCGTCATATCCCAAATTTATGGATAAATTCGTGACCATATTATTTTTTATTTACAGTATACAATTTATACAAAAATATATAATCTCATAATAAATAAGAATAAATACTGTATTATTATTTATATTGTATATACTTAATTTAAAATTTACAGTATAATATATAAATACAGTATGTTACAAAACTAAATACGGTAAGTTAATCTAATATCATCATTGAATAAATTCTAAATTATACTTAAACTAACACTATTCCATTTCTCTTTTTATCCCACTTTCCCATTCATCTGTTTCATTTTTTTTTTTCACAATTTTCCTTCCCCTCCTTGCTTACGAGTACTACGAGCAATTATCGCCCTTGGCATGTATCATGATTTTTACTTTTTCACTCAGACCACTATCCCTTTTTCGCGCTTGCTTTAATAATGATGTGGTCAGTATGTATCTTCGTCAGTTGTAACCTTCATTGTGTTCTCTTTTCACACTCTCTTTCCCTCCATCCTTCTGTGCACCAACCGACCTTCCTGCTAATACTACCAATACATCGCATTATTCCTGCACACTCAGATTTCAAGACAGTTCCATTGATTATCCGAACCGTTATGACAATAATCATCATTGTGGAGTGTATTAGTTTTGCAATGATGTCTATGTATGCTATCCTTAACTCCTTGAGCGTGTTCGTCCATTGCCACCATTTTTCGTATTCAGGTGCCTATAATTTTCTCACATTAATCACCACCATCCCTTCCTTCATTTCATCCTCCATTTTATTTTCATCAGCGAGGTCATTGGTTATCGTCCCTCCATCCTCATGACATCCCAATCCACCTCCACTTGCATCAGGTCTCCCATCAGTAAGTCCGTGTGCATCACCATACTTCCTATCACCAATTGTTAATTCTCGGTTCACTTTTTTTTTAAGTCCTCCCGGATCATCACAACTTATAATCGTGATGACACTGGTTGGTATCAACACTACTTTGTCCTCATCATCTTGGTAGTTAATAGGCATGCCGACAGTTGTATCCTTTTTCCCATAGTATCGTTCCCACCAATGATCTTGATCTGCTAATTTGTCATCGTTTGTGAATTCCTCTTCTGTAATATCATCATTTCTGCTGTCCTCAGGGTCCCATAGTTCCCACATACTTATGAACATTGTCACTCCTTCTGTTTCATACTCCATTTTACCCTCAGAAGGGTGGGCATCCCGCTTATAAATCGTGATCCATTCTTCATTATAATATCTCAACCCCACCCTATTCGCTTTAGGTCTCTTCATGGTAAGTCTGTCTGTGTTCCAATACCTCGTGCCATTAATTACTAATTCTTCATTTTCCTTTTTGCTACGTTCTCCCGGGTCATCACAATTTGCAATCGTGATATCACTGGTCAGTACCAACATTACTCTGTTCTTCTCTGATAGATGGACATCTCGTTTTGCGAGTATGGTATCATCGTCATCATTACAGTACCTGTCTGGCTCCCTTGAGATAGGTTGGATCGTATTATATTAATTTTTCCGCGCTTTATTATCAACTCCCAACTCTTCTTTCTTTTTAATAGGTTCAATTGTATTGACGGGTACGATTTTATCATGACTGTCCAACCTATTCTCGCACTTGTCCAGTATTCTTATGGTAGGTCCTCCATCGACTCGATTCGATTCTCTACTTCCAGACGTTTCTGACATCACGCCTCTCTCCATTTATTCTGTCCTCTTACCGCATTAGCCCTCTCAAAACGAATCTCAGTTACAACCAGATCTCCCTGTGATTTCCACATCTCATCGTCATGTTCCTTTGAGGCTAGCGTGGTTCCGTACCAGGTACTTCGTGGTTCGTCTTCTCGTTGGTCGTCCCTCTTCCTTCCATAATGGCATTCTTTTACTTGTTCTAGAGTCACTAACTTATCATCCTTTCCTGGTTCCTTTCCGGCTTCTACTGCGTTGATGTCTCTCTCGCTGCTTTCGAGTTCCTTCACTCTCACCCTATCGCTCAGCACTCCAATGTCTTCACTGTTCGCCGCCAGAATTCTCTTATAGATAAGTTTTGTTTCCTTTCCACTTAGTCTCGTAAGCGTATCCTTTTTTAATTTCTCTTGCGTTCTCTTTTCTAGGGCCTCGTCTGGGGTTTCTTCGACTTCGAGACTCCTTTCATCATTTCTGGTTGTTGAAATTCGTCCACAGGTGCTTGATATTCTGGTATCATTATTCCTCATGGCTAGCGTCTTACAGCAGTAAGTGTATTGGTCAGTTCAATAGTTTCGTCCGTAACTGGTTTAGGCACTAATTCGTTCTCACCTCCCTTTTCTTCCATTTCAAAACTTTCGTTGCTCCTCGCACTTGCCGAGATTTCGTGGGCGCTCGGCATCCCAGTATCATCGCTCCTCGGGACCGGCACCTCAGAGGTGGGTGCACCATTCCCTGTCGTTTCATTACACGTGCGTAGTTCGGGTATTAACGTATTTTCATTTCCCTTCTCCCCTTCTGTATCGAAGCCTCCTTCGCTATTCTCGAGCTCTAAAACTTCCCCAGCATCGCTTAGAGTTCTGGCATTGTCTTTTCTCGAGGCTAACATTTCGTAAGAGATAAACATTGTACTTAGCTTGATTGTTTCTTCGGATGCAGCTGGTTCAGACACTAACTCGCTTTCGTCACTCCCTTTTTCTTCTGTCCTGGGTCCTTCCTTATCGTTCACACATGTCGAGATCTTCTCGAGGTCACTTGGTATTCTGACACAGATATTTCTCAGTGCTTCACTAGGGCTACTTTTGCCTTCTCAAAGGCCTCCCTCTTTGTGCGTGGTTGGTAAGCTTCCAGGCGTAATTTCTTCCTGATCGGCCTCTCTTTCCTTACGTCGTGGTCGCGAAGATTCGAGACATAAGGGGTACTCTCCCTGTCTTTGAACCTCTTGCGGAATGGTCGTCGCGGGTGACAGGTAGGTGTTCTATTCTTTTAAAGATGGGTCCCTAAATTAAAGGTGAGGACATAATTCAAATGTCCCTTACTATTAAAAAAGTTTTTTTTTAAATATAAGGTCAAAAAAAAAACTACCTACAAAGGTTTTTTGCAATTTAGGCCACTTGATCCAAGTGTTTTTTGAATTATGTCCCTATTAAAGTAATGAATAAATAATTATGTCCCTTCAAAAGGGACATAATTGATCTGCGAAATTTTATATGCTAAATAGTTTAGGGACCCATCTTTACATTCTCCCACTATGTTGCTATGGTGTTCTATGATCGTAGGTCGGATTATTGGTTTCTCTGCAATTCCAAACTTAACCTTTTTTTTTGATCATCGTTTTTATAAACGAATGGGTCTCGTCGATCTTTTGTACTACCACCGATCCGGCGCTTGATGCTGTTTCATCTTCGCATTGCTTTTCTCAATAGCCCTGGTATAGAAGCTTTTCCGGTTGGGGTATCTATCGATATCCCATTAATAATCTTACAAAGAGATATTATCAACTCCTCTAATCCTGGATAGGTATCGTACAATCGCTCTCCTGGACTCAGTCGGGCTTCCTTCCGTATTCTTCTTGTCGCCGCTTTCTTCAAGGCCTTAAATATATCTTGGTCCGTTCTCCTGGGTCCATATTTTTCCAACTTATCTGAAGCAATTAAGACGACGTCTCTTATTACTCTGGATATTTCCATTATTATCTACCTAAAAAAAATTAACGACAATGAAAAAGTAAATGAAATCATAGATCAGGGGGGTAACAACTATTGTGTGCAATTATGCTTTTATGCTACTGTGTGTGATAAATGTATGTATGTCTGTTGCATAAAAATAGGGAGTAATAAGTGTCGTTGGTAGTGTTCTATCTCACAGTCACCACTAAAAATATTGTGGTGAAATTACGGTGAGTCAGTCACTTCGATCTGTCTCATACTGTGTAATGATCGGGCGGTTTCTGCTCAAAAGAAGTGTGTGAATTTGGCTAAAGTTCGTAACACTGACACAGATCAATCTGTCGATCTTGCGTCCTCAATAGTTACTTTTCACGTAACAATTCCGTTAGCTACGTAACGCTAGAGTCAATCACTAGGCAATAGTTTATCAAATAAAGATGGTTTTTATTTAACAGTTGCGCAGTACCTATTCTGATTCTCCTTATTTTTTGACCATTCTCAGGTCACTTATATATATTTTTACTTTATACCTATTATACCTATTATACTTGATATACCACTTATACCTGATATACCGTTTATACCTAATATATTTACCCTTATAATTTTCTATCATCTACCCATCATTTTTCCTTATAACAATATAAATATGTTTTTTAAAATTTTTTGAAATTAAATTTTGAAATTAAATTTTTTGAGTATTAAAAATTAATTACAAGTAAAAATTTTATT